GTCTGCCTTCGGCTCAGGTCGTGATCCCAGGGTCCTGGGATCGAGCCCCGCATCGGGCTCCCTGCTCGGCGGGAAGTCTGCTTCTCCCTCTGTCACTCCCCCTGCTTGTGTTCCCTCTTGCTGTCTGTCTCTGTCAAATAAATAAATAAAATCTTTAAAAAAAAAAAAAAGATAGAAATTTCATATATTAAATGGTCTGTGTAGACTTCATTTATTGAACATAGTACAGACAGGCATTTAGCCAGGTACCTTGCTGGGACCCCCTTCTCATCCAAGGCATAAATATTTGTCAGTATTCACAGTTTGGATGTTTTAGATCTCAGTATTTTGAAATTCCATTCTTACCTAGAGATAGCAGCCTAGTTCATATTTTGAATCCGATGTTTTTAATTGTAATACTTTAAATCTCAACTGATGTTGCTGAAAACAAAATAAACGGAGCATGTTTATCAGTGCCCAGCATGTAGTAAATTCTCAATAAATGTTTATTGAATAGAAGCACATCTCATATTTAATAGCCTGCACTTTACAAAGAGCTTTTATATAGTGTATTTCATGTTATCTCCAATAACACTGAAAATAGTGTACCATATTCCACTAATGAAAAATTTGAGAACCATTGCAGTAAGGAAGTGGCAAGTTTGAAATGGAGATTACTGTGAGCTTTTTAAAAGACTCATATAGCTTGCTTTGTCTTTGACCTGATTATACCCATCTCCTCATTTATTGAGCAAATATTTATTGAGCACTTAATTGTGTACTATGTTCTGGGGATAAAACAGACAAAAATCCCTGTCTTCATTGAGTTTGTAAGCATCCTTCATTTTCCCTCAGGTTCCAGCCTTTAGTCTAGGGGTATCACAGCAAGTTTAGAAATATATATAAGCCTTAAAATGAAAAATATTAAGCTTTACTCTAGCAAATGGCTTCTTATTTAATAGAACTATTGTAATACTAATGTCCTATTGTGATTACTTAACTTATATTTTGGAATTTGATTTCCTAAAGTCAATATAAAACTAATCAGGACTTTTCTTAAATAGCAAAGCACCGATGTTCATATGGTTAGTGATAGTGATGGAGATGACTTTGAAGATGCTTCCGAATTTGGGGTGGATGATGGAGAAGTATTCGGCATGACATCATCTGCCCTGAGAAAATCTCCAATGAGTGAGTATTAATAGCTCTTTGGGTCCAGCACTGTAATTCTACTTCCTACTGCAGAAACTTATGAAGAACAATGAACTTAAAAATCTCTTACTGACTTCCCAGGTTTGGAGAGAGAAAATATAGCAAGTAGGCACATTATTCATTAGAACCAGATCCTCTTGAGTTTTGGTTTTATTAAGCTCAACAATTCCCAGTGCTTTAGTAAAATTCATTAAAAATGCAAGGGAATGTATAACTTATGTTTCACGTATATAATTAGTTATGATTCTTTCTCTTTACTTTAAACCTAGAGGTTGATAAACAAATAGCTATATTTTCTGTGACTGTACTTGTTTCCCGGCATCTTAGTGGAGATATCAGTTTTAAGAATAGTAATAATTATTTTTCCATTCGGTGGTACCACCTTTGGCAGGAAAAAAAAGTAAACTAATGTGCCATCTCCTTCTCTTTAACTTTACAGGATACATACTGTAGAATCACAAGCAGTATTATATTCAAAATTACCATTAAAATCAATCCTTAAATGGCTCGTTTACTCAGTGAAGTTAGGGAACTCCATTGGGCAGAAATAGATGTGATATTTACTTAAAATTGACCATCTTCCTTATAAATGAGATTTTTGAAAGAACTTGAGATCCTTTTTATATAATTTATTCACAAGATGTCATTTTAAGAAAACATTGAAATCCTAATTGATGACTGGCACATACTTGAAATGCTTAGCAGGACTGTGTCAGTTGGCTTTCCAAAATTTATGAGCTTGGAATTTTTTCAAGGTTCTTTTTTAAGGTATGAAATCTTCTAATGTATGTCAAGTTAAAATGTCTCCTCAAATATATCACAGAAGCTAAGATTTAATTTTATTTCCTCTTTATTGATTAAATATATTTCTTATATGTGGGATTAGATGTTATGTGGTTTGTTTTTTGTGTCTATTTGTTTTGTTTTTTTTGTTTTTGTTTTTTCTTTTGTTTGTTTTTTAGTGCCAGAAAACGCAGAAAATGAAGGAGATGCCTTATTACAATTTACAGCAGAGTTTTCTTCAAGGTAGGGTTAGGACATTAACTATATAAAATTGATGTTCTTTTAATGCTACTGTGATTTTTCTGGAGCAATTTTAATCATAGATTGTCTTTAATTTCTCTGTAAAGTATTCAAAGGATATATTTATCAGTTTATGTAGTCCTGATAGTTTAACACATACTATTCAGTGTCAGATAACTAGTAAGCCATTTATGCCACTTCAGAGATGTATTTATCATCTTATCTCTATATCTTTATTGAAGGAAAATAAATGTGTCACTAATTAATATATTGACTATATTCCCAAAAGGACTAGGTTATAGGATACTAATTTTTGGTATATCCTAGAATAAACAAAATATCCTTTAAAATAATATTAAATTAAAAAATAATTTAAAAATTTTAAATGTAAGTGAATTTTTTCTTTTAATTTTTGTTTTGGAACTATTAACATTTCTTCTTTTAAGAGGCTAATATAAAATGTTTTATATGCATTTGAGATTCTTATAAGTTGTTTAAGAGGATTTAAGTATTTAACCCTAAATTTTTGTGTAAGTGATATTTCTCTTTAGTTCTGTTTTCTAATGTAATATAATTTGGAAACTTTGCAAGATTACAGTTTTTTCCCTCTCTGTTGGACTTCCAGAATAAATGAACTAATAAAATGGAAAGTTAAGGTTACTATAAGGAAAATCTTATGAAAGTGGATAACCAGGAATTGCTACCTATAAATGGCATGGTTTTGTAGCACTTATTAAATCCATTTGCTAGATGTACTTAAAATTCCAGTATTCTAATATTATCACTATAGGCCAAGATGAATTTTAAGAACTAATGAAGCTCATTCCCAAGCCTTTAAAGAAATGTTTTAATGTTTGGTCTGTAGTTAAGAGACATTAATCCCAATATTTACTTAAAAGATGCTGATTAGACTTGTGAAACTTTGAAGTAAATTTGAAATGTATTTAAATTAATAGACATAATTTTTCCTATAGATATGGTGACTGCCATCCTGTATTTTTTATTGGCTCATTAGAAGCTGCTTTTCAAGAGGCCTTCTATGTGAAAGCCCGAGATGTAAGTGCAATCTTACCTTTTGTGATTAAAAAATGCATCCCATAGGTTTACCACCAGGCCTCAGGCAATGCTTAATGTTTTCTGTTTTTTTCAGATTGAAGACTTGATTTTGTTTGTGGTTCATCTACCAGCCTAATCATCACCAAGATGCCCATTTCAGAGGGGCAATAGTATAATAGGGTATTGCTGGCTCTTGTAGATGGCCTTGTCAAGCTCTGAAACAGGAGTTTTTTTGTAGGGGGAAAAAGGGAGCCATGCTTAGAAGGGACCAGGCTACATGTGTATGTTCTTTTCAGTTATGTGATTGACAGGTTCTTTCTAAACGCCCTGTCTTTCAGTCTTTTCCCAAAATGATTCCATCTAATAGTATATATCTAATAACTGCAATATTTTTATCTTAAAAGTTACTTTAGACAACAAAAATATAGAAATGGGCATTTTGATCTTAAAGTAAAGTAGATTGGCATTTATAACAAGAATTCCGAAGGTACATTTTCAGCAAGAAATTTCTATGCAATCACTCTGTTTATATGTTGAGCCAGCAGTGGAGACCTCAGTAATCTGGCTCCTACCTATATGCACAACTTTAGCTCTTTCCATTCCTTGCCTTACACTTAATAAATCTAGCAATGATGTACCGTTTGTGTTTCCCCATAATGTTACTCTTTGGTCATGCTTCTCTGCTGTAAGGAATGACTTCATTCTGCCCTTTACCTGGTTAACTTCTGCTCTTCCTCTGAGACTTAATTGTCCCTGACTCTTCCACTATTTGACAGTTGGATCCACCCCTTAGTACTTTGTACCGATACCCTCTGCTCATCTTACTGTTACATTTAACACATTGCTTATCATTATCCATTCTCTCTTTATATGCCTTCTCAAGAGATTTGATTTTCTTTTTGGCAGTGACTGTACCATCCCTGGTAAATATTCTATGTATTTAATGAATGAAGGAAAAAAAGAGAGTGGGAAGGAAGAAATAGTGTGTAGATAGAGTAGAGGGCAAGTTATTGGAATTAAAGAGGGCAAGGACTTTTGAGAGTAGAGCGCAAGGATGCCTCTGAAATTTCTAGTTTCCAGTTTATCTTAAACCCTGACCTAAAAAGAAAATTTCATTTTAAACAAATTTTAAAAATTGACAATAATTAGTGATCAAACTTAGAGCAATGAATGGGTTTAATGAAGTGGAATAGAAACACAAACTGTTCTTTACCCTAAGAATAGTGGAATAGCCCATTATAAATGCTGTGTTAGTCTATTTTTTAACTATTAAATTTATATAAAATGGATGTCATTTTTGAAGAAATAAATATTTATAATAATACACATTTATAGTTTCCATAGGTTTATGGAAAACACTGAAAAGCAAAAAGAAAATATTCTAACACAGATTAACAGTTAACTTTATGGTACATGTTCTTCCCATATTTTTAAATATATTTTGATGAATACTTTTATGTATGCTTAATATTATTGAGTCATGTTATAATCCTGCTAAAACAGTTTATTTTCACCTTTTAATATTACATGGTCATTTGCTTAATTATATTTTATAATATTTTAACTTTTTATTAAAACAATTTTTAATACAGAAAAAGTAAAAAGAATAGTACAGTAAACACCCAAATCCCCTATCCCTAAATTTAATAACTAATAAATTTTGCCATGTTTGCTTCTTTCATATGCAAGCATCCCAAAGTTTTAATGGAGATAGAAGCCTTAATAACTTCAAAAGTTTAACTGCCACACATTAATAAAAGAGCAGCATTTGAAATGTAATTATTTACATTTTTATACTTATTTAGGTTTGTGATTTTGATGAATAAATTTTTTATGATAAATTTTCATTTCCTCTCTGAAATTGGCAAACATTGACTGGAATAGAAAATAAGTATAAAATTTATTATTCAAAATATATAAAAACAAATGTAAAAAAAATTAAAGTTTCACATGATTTTTTTTTAACTTTGTAGCAGTTACACTTTTGAAATAAAACTTAAACTGCATGAAAATATTTAGTATACCTTTTTATATTCAATATTTTTTGTTAAATTACATATCTTACACCTAAAGACATCTGTATGTTTTCCAAAAAATAATGATATTCTCTTACATAATCACAATACCATTATCACATGTAACAAAATTAACAGTAATTCCCTAATATCACCTAATATCCAGTGCATATTCATACTTTACCAGCTGTCTCCAAAATGTCTTTTTAACTATTTTTTTGAAACCACAATCTACTCAAGGATCACAAATTACATTTGGTTGTTAGATTTTTAAAAATATTTATTTATTTTAGAGAGAGTGAGAGAGGGCATGGTGGGTAGGGGCAGAGGGAGAGAGAGAATCTCAAGTAGACTCCCCTTTGAGCGGGGAGCTTGTCACAGGGCTCGACCTCATAACCCTGAGCTCATGACCTGAGCCTAAATCAAGAGTCGGACACTTAACTGAGCCACCCAAGCGCCCTGTGGTTGTTAAATTTCTTAAATCCCTTTAAACAAGCACTCTCTCCTCCTGCCTCTCTTTTTTCCCCCATAACATTTGCTTAGTGAAGAAATCATGCTTTGTTATATTCAGGTCAAAATTTTTTTGCAAGAATGCTTTGTAAATAATACTGAATACTTCATTAAAACAGGACTCTAATGGTTATAGAGTCTCATTGTATGGCCATGTTATTATATTTAAACAATCACTTATTGGACATAAATATGGTTGAAAGTAGTTGAAGTAATCGGAAAATGTTAGGGCCTTTGTGACTTAAACTGTAGCTCCCAAAATAAGCATAGATGTCTTTTAAATCCCACTTAAAAAGCTACCCTAAGATACACTGTGTATACCTTAAACATTTTAACTTTAAGTGAAGACACTTGTTTAAATATACAGTATATAATAGACAAAGAAACTTTTGCTAAGTGTCTTATATAATAAACTGGCATTTGATGATCCCCAGAGGAGAATAAACTCTTGCATATTAGCTTCTGGATATTTCTAATGAAATAATTGATTGTTTGCTTTTGACTAGGGTCTTGGTATTTTATTTTTTAAATTTTATTTATTTATTTGAGAGAGAGAGAATGAGAGACAGAGAGCATGAGAGGGAGAAGGGTCAGAGGGAGAAGCAGACTCCCTGCTGAGCAGGGAGCCCAATGCGGGGCTCGATCCTGGGACTCCAGGATCGTGACCTGAGCCAAAGGCAGTGGCTTAACCAACTGAGCCACCCAGGCGCCCCGGGTCTTGGTATTTTAACAAATGAAAGTCATTGGTTCATGTAATTAAATGTTTTGCTTCATATTAGATTCGTACCAAAATCCTTTGACCTCTTTGGAATGCTAAATTGTCTCTTTTTCCCCTTGCCCAAAACTTTTTCTTTCCTCAATTCTCTTTTCCAGGTTAAAGAACAGTTTATACATCGTTTAAGACATTACTGTAAACTTAAGTAAAATTGATCCATATGATAGATACATTTTTCAGATTTAAATCTATGCAGATACATTCATTATGGTCATCAGCCAAGTTACACACATACACACACACACATATCTCCTTTTAATTAAAGAGTACTGTGTACGCATAGAAATAGTACTGCTGCTACAGATATATATGGTGCTGTATGGTTTATAGAGCATCTTTCCTATATGTATCTTATTTGAACCCCACAACAAACCAGTGAGATAGGGACGTATAATATCAATATTCCTATTGTATAGATGAGGAAGCTCAGAAATGCAACAGAACTTAACCAAAGCATATCAGTAGTAAGTACTAGAGGCCAAATAAGAGCTCAGGGTTCTAACACAGGTAAGTACGATTTACACTGTATCACTATATTTCAGTTTTCAATGGTAACTACTATACTGCAGGATTCAGTGATCAAACGTCATTTCTCCTTTTCAGATTTCACATTTAAAAGTTAAAACAAGTCTTTGTCAATATTATTTTTTAAAACTTGTGAATGAATCATTTTTAAGAAAGCAGTTTGCTGATGTTCACATATTTTAAAGCAAATGTGACCGATACTGTGGCATTCTGACTAAATTTCTTTCATCTTAAATATCACATGTTTAATTTAAACTGTGGGAGGCACATTAATTTTACCAGGGCAACAGATGAGCCTCAAGCACCAGCATTCTTCACTTGAAGTGAGAAATTGAGTTCCAAGAGTAAATAAAAACAAGATTGAAGGTTTAAATCCTCTGCTAGGCTTTTTGAACTTATATACTCATTAAATGTTTATTGGAGTGGTGGGATTACAAAGGATTTGGGGAGCTTCATCAACTGGTATATAGTTAATCACTAAGTAAAACACTACATTTGATAAAGTGTTTCTCACGATGCCACATTCAATCCATCTTAATGAAAACTGCTTCAAACTGATTTCATTTGAGAGCACTTGGTGGTGAGAGTGCCCATAGTTCCTTCTGCCTTTTTCATGAGGAATTTAAAACACTGTCCAAAGCAGTGCTCCAACTTCAGTGAAACAAGTATTCTAAGGTCTTGTGTTTAAGCATATTGTGACAGAGTTTTGACTTCTGGCAACAGGTCCATCAGTTTTATGACCTCCTCTCATGCCCTTAACTGTTAGAGATGTTCATTCAGTTGAGGGCCATAAATATTTATCACATGCCTGTTAAGGACCTGGAATATAGAACTTTCCTGCCTTTGAGATGCTCATACTCTAATGGGGAAGATAATATCAACAGATTCATATAGTATAGTACGTTATAGCAGCAAAGAGGAGAGGTACTTCATCTACCTTAGAAAGTTTAAGGAGATTTCTTAAGGAGGTACATCTACCCTGAATCTTATGAGTCATACTTAGCCAAATAACAGAATTCTAAACGGAAAAAAAAGGTCAAAACCAAAGGCAAGAAGATTAAAATGAGAGAACTACAACCAAAAACTTAAGACCAAGAGTAAAAAATGCAAGATAGAGAGTTGGATTGCAAGGCATGAGGCGGGGAAGATCAGAAGGGGCCAAGGCATGGAAGGGT